GATTGCTAAAGGGCGTTGCTCCAGGATGATTTCCTGGCTCCCCAGATCAATTTAAAATTTGAAAATTAACAAGTTCTAGAATTTTTACATTTACTGATGAATGACTGAGGTTAGGAAAACATTTAAAACCGCCATCTTTTCAGAGTAAAATTAAACTATTCTAGGTCTCTCTAGCATTATACCTCGGGAAAACAGCAATATCAACACTATTTTAAGCATTGTGGTGTAATGAACGAAACGATGAATATGTGAACTGTGTGAATCATAATTGATTATCAAAGGCGATCTACCTAAACCCACATAAGGTCATTCAAAGACGACCCACCGGTCCATATTTAGTAGGGTTATACAATACAAGATGGCATGGCAATCACGTGACGAGAATAAATAAGTACTATATGTATTCAAAAATATAGCGACAGAATGTAAAATATATATATAACGCGTAAGTTTTAACTCTTCTAAAAACTTATTTTACATATTAAAAAATATGCATTTTATTTTTGTTTTTGTTTTATTGTGAAAAACATATGATTTCTTTCATTGGTTGTAATTTTTTACGAATTTTTTTTCTTTATGTATTGACTGTGTGGCCAGTTTTTTAATGATTGGTAAAACAGGCTAATATAGGCAGAAAAGAAACGTTGAACAAAATAAATAGAAAATACGCAAATATGTTTACAAAAACAACATGTTTGAATGACTTTTTAAATAAATAACCAGAAAAATTAATCATAAATCTTTTTTAAACCGTAATTTTTAGATTGTTTTATATTTCTTTTTTCCTCTTTATTGATTAATTTTGAAATACAGTTACAATGTGACGCAACTGTTTTTCAAAACGGAAAATACTTTTTCACGGTAAACCTCAACCGACGAAAACATTCCATCAAATGTTAATAAACTTTTTTTTCTGTTAGCTTGGTCCGCCTACGTTTAATTTCTTTTAGGCCAATCTCTAATTTAATTGCCAAAACATTTCAGACAACAAATGAAGCGTAGGATGACTAAAATAAAATGATATAATATAATAAATAAAAGCCAGCGTTTTTCTAAAACAGTTGTTTAGATGTGTGTGGTGATTAGTGACCAGTCGATAATTATTCAGAAATCGTGAGATGCAGTCTGGTGTGATGTAGGTTCTAATACATTTCTTTTCTAATATATTTTCTTTATCGTGCCAACGTTTCGATCTTTATTGAGATCATCTTCAGGGCTCAAACCTAGCTTTCTGCGTAAGTGTGCCATTCTTGCGTGTCGTGATGAGAGTGCCACCGGGTTTAGCGGTAATAAAGAAAATTCGAATTAAAAAAAAAAAATTGTTGCGTTTTCGTTTGCTGATAAGTCTTGAACTCTTTCGTCGTATAATGATTCGTACTATGGACGAGCATCTTAGCCCATGGTGAGCATAACGAAAAATTAAATTCACTCGCTGAACATCACCCAGAAACTTCTTGGTAAGAAAACAACTATAGATCCACCAAAGGAATGAAGAAGAAGATGAAGGAAGAAAATCCAAATTCAAACAGATTCTTAAGTAAAGCAATAATTCCAGACGGAACGGGCACTTTAGAAATGATGGCAACAATCAACATCGTTCAGATACTGTGAAGAGTCAGAAGACACCACAATGACTTTGGTGCCACAAAAAATGCTTTGTCACGTAAAATGTAACCGTAGAAATAATACTGCCAATAAAACCTGGCCTAAATGACAATAATAATATATGACTCTCAACACGACACGCAAGGATGCTAATTACACAGAAGACAAACACTTTGAGCCCTGAAGATGATCTCAATAAAAGATCGAAACGTTGGCACGATAAAGAAAATGTTTTTCTGAAACCTACATCACACCCGACCGCATCTCACGATATCTGAATAATAATAATATAATAGTAGTGTATTATTTTTTCTTCCTAAATAACATACTATTTTTTGATACTTTAGTCTTTTAATAACTTTCTTGATAATTTTGGACTAACCTCTATGCTATTAGTACCGAATAGGATGTAAAATAGCTCTCCAACCACGCAGTATTCCAAATTATTCTTAATTTCAATCTACACAAATGTTCTTGAAAAAAATCAGTCCAGGGGTTCAATTTACTCTTTGGCGAATAATTTATTTTCCTAACTGTGCGCAATTAAAATATATAGTTGTCCAGAGAAGATGTTTTTATATATAAGACTTGTACACTAAGATTTATGAACGATTGAATTTCCGATGTCCACCTGATTTAACAAGATCCAATGATATTTAAGCGTGTTATTTTTTTAATATATAAACTTTAGGGTTTCGGAAAAATATCATTTTTAGGCTTGTTAATTAATAGTGAGTTTTCTTTTTGATTAATGATAGGATGTTAATATAATTCGGCATTGAACTTCAGACGATTGTACCATGATTCCATTAAGTTGTTTTCTCATTAGTACGATGCTCATGAAATATTTAATAATTGATCTTTTGCCGTTTAGTTGCTTTGACAATACTAATCATGTTGGAAGTTTAATTTTGGATGTTTTACGATGTCGAGTTAAAGTTTAATTCACATTTCATTCGGTAGAAAATCCTCTTGACACTAATCATTTTCTACAGACAACCACAAATATTACATATGTTCATATATGTTGAAGTTATCATTTCAGGCTCTTGTAGGAGAAGTTGCCCAGTGGCAAAATTCCTTCACACTGATTCTTGTTCAGTCTTCACTCAATTTAAAGGGTGTGTGTATAAATCATTGTCGATAGAATATAAATAAAATATGAACTAATTAGCTATTAGTTCATACAATGGAGTTTGTACAAACAAATTCCTTGTGATAAAAAGCTTTTATAAACAAAACTCATGATGTAATCTGAAGGTTGTTGTTCATTAAACACTGACTTAATTTAATTAAATGTAAAGTAAGTCATAAATAATAATTGCCGCCATTTTAGTGAAAAAAATTAAAAATTATTGTAATACAGTAAAATGTCGTTTACGACGAACTTCAGGGAACCATAAATTTTTGAATGTTATAAGCGGAATTCACCAATATGTCGTTATATCTGAACATTTCATCCAGCTGGTAGGCATGTAATTTTATATCAGAGCAGTTTTCGTTATAATTAGTAATTACATAATTTATCCATGTTTATGAAGAAGTACAAAATACATACTAACCTGTCAAAGTAATTTATTTACATAAATGTTTTAAATCATTAATATACTTATGTACTTACGTACTTACTGTGAGTAGGAACTATCTTTTTACAAAAGATTAAACAACACACTCACTCCAAAAGTTATCTTTTCTATGTATGTACAAATTTGAGTTATTTAACTACAGTACCATTGTAGTGTGTAATCTGTTATCATTTTTTGGCCCTTATTTTTTTAACTTTATGGCACTTATTAAATTGTTTGATTATTTCCCTTTATTTTTTCACAATTCTCGATATTTGGAATGAATCGTTTCCTTTCCACTTGCGAGACTGTTCGCACAATCTTCTGATTTGATCTGAAAAATTATCGCGAATTTTTCCTCAACAGAAGAAACTAAATTCAGTTTTTTATGTATTATTTATTTTTTATTTAGAGACTTTTTAAAGACATTTATATTTAAAAAAAGGGGGAAGAATCTTTTCTTAGAAACTTTATGCAGCTGGTGTTACTTTTGCATGATGTCCGCTAAAACCGACAGTTCGTTATGAACCTATTATTATTTAGTCCTTATGACCTTTCATAAGCCCGGAGATTTTGTACGTTATAACTGGTGTCGTTATAAACAATTTCAATTGACACGCAAAATTATTGAAATAAACCAATTAAAATAATTTTAAAAACCGCGTACGTTATAAAGCTGCGGGGCTGGACTTTGTTTCGTAAGTTCAATTTAGTTTTAATGTTTTGATCATCATTGATCATATTAGCTTATTAAACATATTGTTACTTATTACCTACTTTAAGGTAGTTGTAATGTACAATAAATTACATTTAAAAAAAAGACAACAAAAATGTAAACTTTGTAGAAATAAATAGCTCTCATACATTTTTAATATTCTGAAAATGTTCCAAGCAGTAAAATTAATTTTAAAAAAATTGTTTTTATTAAAATCCTTTATTTTTATCATTTGTATTAATTTGTTTACAACATTACTTTAGATGATTGAATAATTAAATTGTAGCGTTGTAACACTTCAAGTTGTTATATAATTTGTAAGGTAAATGAACAACTTCGAAACCAAGTAAAGTTCATTTAAATAACGAATTGTTATCGTAAAATATTTTTTTTACAAGTTAAGTGTTATTGGCTCAAAGATATAGTAATGATAATTATTACTATGTAGATTTATAATAGTTTTGATTGAAAAATCTGTGTAACCGTTATTTATATTTTTATCTTGACCATTCATATTTTCTGTTTTCATTTCATCAAGTGTGTTCAATAGTATTTTCTTTTTTAACAAAAAATTTGAAAACTCAAATGTAATTTAATTCAAGATTTATAATCAATGGTGACTTGGTATTGTTACCTGTGGAAAAGGTTAGAATTTCACGGGGTGATTAATTTCACACTGGCTCTCTACAAAGATTATTATTTCTTAGAAGGACAAAGACACGATTTACATACGAGGCGAATATACTGTCCTAACAGATTACCATAAACAATTCTCGTGCTACTGTAACTCCATTATATCTTGGAATGACTGTCATAGCGAGTTCCATTGTGAACTCGTTTCTTGAAGATTTTGGATGACAGCAGTATTGTTATGAAAATGGTGATTTTTATTTAAATTGGGTTATAAATAGAAATGCCGATCGTCTCGCTCCGTGCGCGTGGACACGTGGTGACCAATATTTTGCCTTGATGGCAAAACAAGTTTGCATAAAGGACGATAAATGTTTGTTCTTTGAGTATAAGCAATATATGCAGCATATGCGTTGTGCAGTCGGACAAGTTAGGTGAAATTCGTTTTGGTGATAACTTTGACAACTGGGGTACGTGAGACTCACCTTCGGCTCGGGTAGATGTCACCACAGTGCTGGGTGGAAGCAGACTGAGAGTCAGGGGTGACTCCATCTCCAGGGGGGCTGTTAATCGATGACCGGGCGTCGCTATAGCTACCGCTCCGCTGGAAAAAGGGCGCGTCGCTACTAGCTTTCCGCAAGACGGTACCTAAACCACGCCCTCCCATATACTCTACTACTCTCGTGGAAAACATCTTTATTTACCTTTTTACCACCCCTTTCCCGTCGTAGGGCAGCATTGCTACCACATTAACCCCCAATCAACCGCAGCCAGCAATATATGACCTGTATTATCCCACAAAAGCCAGTTTTTGACTGACCTTTTCATAGAATTTTATGAACTTGAGTAAAATATATAATTTTTTTAAATGTTTTCTATCAGTCAATACGACGAAATCTTCTAATTTATTATCAAATATATACAGGGTGACCTTTTTAGATAGCCTGGCTGAAAAACAAAAAACCAATGCATTGACGCTAGTTTCAAATTTTTACCTTTGTTTGTAGAAAAATTATACAGGGTACCTCAGACCCCGTTCAACTGCAAAATTTCAAATATGCCTATATAAATCCTGACACATTATTTTAAAAGATGTTTTACACTTAAAACAATGATGCAATCTTATTTTAAATTGGTCAAAAAGTGATAAAGTTATTTCAAAAGTTTGAAAAAACGCATTTCGTTCGTGTTGTTGTTAATTTCAACAATTTGATTCTTTTCTAAAGTAAACATTAATTGCCTTTATTGTTTACATTCTGCCGTTGTTCGTCAAATTCGCATTTTAAGAGCAAATCTTAATTCCTGGAAATGATAAGCATAGATAGCATGGATAAATAGAATGACAAGCATTTTCTATACTTTTCTGCAGTTCTTCAACTGAGTTTGTTTGGTTATGATTAGGTAGAACCAAATGATTTTTAAATTATCCCGCAGAAAATAGTCAAGTGGAGTTAAATCGGGTGACCGAGGAGGCCAACAGATCGGGCCGTGATGTCCTATCCACCTATACCGGAAGTGACGATAACATCTGATCTGCAAAGAATTCTGTGCAGTGAAACCATCAAGCTGGAGAATAATTTTTTGTCGTTGTTGCAGAGGAACAGCATCTAATAGTAACGATGAGCTAGATTATCGACCTGCTGGAAACATGAAGTTTTTTCGGAGGATCTACGGAAGAGGTCAACAAAGAGAAAAACTTCCTTTCGGTTTTCGCCGAGCTTTCGACAGTTTTTATACTGCCATCTTCTGGGCTTAAACCTTAATGGGGAAATAAAAAGACATGGTATTTTGGGCACAGAAGTACATACGTTTTTTTGGTGCTCAGCATCTCATAAAAGTCTAAAAAACTAGTAAAATCTTCCTTTCTTTGTTTTCAGGTACACAGATAAACTCCCGTAGCCTTTGTTCCTCTCGTCNTATATATATACAAGAAACGCACTGTGACACTGTGATCGCATGTACCTGAAAACAAAGAAAGGAAGATTTTACTAGTTTTTTAGACTTTTATGAAATGCTGAGCCCCAAAAAAACGTAATGTACTTCTGTGCCCAAAAAACCATGTCTTTTTATTTCCCCATTACGGTTTAAGCCCTGAAGATGACAGTATAAAAACTCTCGAAAGCTCGGCGAAAACCGAAAGGAAGTTTTTCTCTTTGTTGACCTCTTCCGTAGATCCTCCGAAAAAACTTCATCATCTAATAGTGTTGGTAAAACCGCCCTCAAAACATCGAGAAACTGAGCAGTATTTCAATTATTCTTGTAGAAATAAGGGCCAATTAATTTATTTCCGAGAACGTTGAAAGTGTGAACCACCTGATGATGACAATATTACGAAATTATCGGATTTTCCTCTGCTCACGTTAAAAAATTCCAACGGTTTAGTAAGCCATTTGAGGTGAACTTCGATTCATTGGTCCTGTATGGAAGCACGTTTTCTTCATCCTTCCAAATCCACATTTGTGCAAGGAACGCTAAACGCCTGTCATAATAAGAGTCCCGAAGTCCCTGGACAAGATGAGAGCGATACGGCTTAAAATCTTAAGTCCTACTTTTATGTTTTGAAAAACCTAAAACCCTTTCAATATTTCGGAGACAGTAATTAGTCTTTTCGCGAACATACCGTAAAACATTCAACTCCTCGTCGAAATTACGTTGTCGGTTTCTTGGTGATTGAACAGCAACTGATCCGTATCTTCTCATAATACGAGCAACATGAATGAACATTATGTAGCTTAGTCTGGGGCGACCAGGAAATTTCTCCGAGTACAACTGGCAATACCACCAGTCGATAAAGCAGTCGTACATATCAACTCGCTGTTGATCAGAAAAATTCGTTCTTCGGTTCATTTAGAATGGAATACTGAATGTATCAGATAGCTACTATTGTAAAATTTATTTATTTCCAGGAATTAAGATTTGCTCTCAAAATGCGAGTTTGACAAACAAACAGAATGTAATCAATAAAGGCTGTTAATTTTACTCTAGTGAAGAAGCAAATTATTGGAATTAACAAGGAAACAAATGAAATGCGTTCTTACAAACTTTTTACCATAACTTTATCATTTCTTGCCCAATTTAAAACCCAATTACTCCGTAGTTTTCAGCGTAAAAAATCTTTCAAAATGATGTATTAGAACGTATAAGGTCATAATTGAAATTCAAACAAAATAAGATAAAATTTGAAACTAGGTTAAAAAATTTTTTTTAATCGTCATTGGTTTAAAAGAACTTCAACCGGGCGATCTAAAAAAGACCGTCTGTATACTGGTGATGTACTTCTCCACTAGTTTGACTAGTCTGATTATTTAAAAAAGTAGGACTGAAAATATGGTTTAAAGAAGCATGTTGATGTCCTTACGAGGGTTGTAATGCCATCAACAGGACTGTATGAACTGAGAAATGATTTGAACTAAACCATGATTTCAATGTATTGGTTTAGCAAGAAAGTATTTCGTTTTGCAGATTTAATAGGTTTAATTAGCTCAATATTTACATTTGTTGTGTATATTATTTTTGTTTACGAATTCGGTTTTTTAATCCCGAAATTGAAAGGTTTTATTTTTCTTCAGTAGCTGTTTTATCCTTCTTTAGTTGTGTCCAGTAATTTGATCGTAATCATATCTAAAAAATGTCTAGTAATCATGTCTATATCTGATCAGTAATCATGTGTTTAGAAAACGCAGGGAACAATGCAACTGTTGCAAATGAATATTTGGGCAGTGTTTGGTACTGCCGTAAATGTTCGTCGTGTCCAACGGTGGTTTGCTGGATTTAGAGAAGGGAATTTTGTTCTTGAAGATGATGCCCATGGACGTCCTTGTGAGGCGACGACGTATTGAGACAGGCCCGAAGAAAATTTCTTTTTGATGACACAGACCTAAAAGTGGTGTTAAAAATACATAGTAGTACAGTAGGTAATACAACCACGGGAAACCACATCCAATGATTTGGGTTAGATACCACACATACTCAGAAAAAGGAATTCGGCAGATTGCATCTCAATTTGCTCTTCACTCCTCCATCGTCTTGATTTATTTTATTTTTTCATAGATTGTTAAGAGGTGATGAAATATGGATCAGATAAAAAACATAGCGCGAAAAAACGTTCATTGCCAACCCGGTTGTTACAAAACCACAAATACACGATAAAAAAAACTTATTCTGTACATTTGTTGGGACAGGTCTTTGCATTTTGAGCTTTCACCACAGCAGCAAAGGTTAATAGTGAACAGCTAACCTTTTAGACTTTCAAATAAAGCAAAAACGGCTTGCAATAGCATACAGAAACGGCGAAGTGTTTCACCCCGTCAACGCCAACCCCCATTTGCTTTGCGGATCAAACAATTATTAACAAATGTGAATTGGGAAATTTTATCCCATCCGCCACACTCTTCAGACATTGCACCCTGAGACTACTATTATTTCGGTTATTAAAATTTTTTTTTAATTGGTCAAAACATTGAAAATTTTCAAACGGCATTTCAAACGTTCTTTGTGCAGAGAAAAAGTTGTGAATTTCGACGTGAGACATGCATGACCAAGTCCGTTTAATACCCCCCTACAAAAAAAAAGTTGAGAATTTAATATGTTTCATCCTTATGTATAAATCAGTCGCCAACAACCCTTTAATTACTTTAAACGTGCACAGTAATCTCATATAACTAAGGGCTGACCATTCAGAATCATCTCAGTCAAGTTTAACACACAAAAATATTTTAAAAAGCGTTGAAATCAACTTAGAAAATTTCTTTCATTGGATCCTTCTCGCCTAGTTCTTTCAAGAAATAGAGCTGAGATTTCACTGATACACTGTGTGATATTTAATCCTCTTCCTTTCTCAACGAAGAAAATATTTTACTAAGGAAGGTTAAGGTAAAAACGGTCAACTTCTTTACGACCTCACTTACCGCGTTCAATTCACTATTGATCATTCTGCTTTATTATCTAGAGCTTTTCGTTAAGCATATTATATCCCAAAGTAAGATTTTAGCTTTTTTTCTATATGGATTAAGAATCTCAGCATTCGCACCAACAGAAAATCTATTCCGCTGTTTTTACTTTTACCTTGCACTATCTACACAGGCTTGTTTGCTTATGCTCCGAGCATATACGTATGGCTCTACCAATTATTTGCACTGACGTGCGTAAAACGTTAAGATTTAAAAGGAATCGGTCCTCTTTACGACTTACGCACCCCGACCAGTATTGGCCCGTTGTGAATCGCCATTATTATATAGAGCTCCTCATTAAGCTTAACGCTTTTTTTGTGTGTACCTCTCAGGCTTTTTCTATCCCAGGAGAAAGGATCTCAGCCATATAAGCTATCGCACCAAAAGAGGACGTTTCCTGCTGTTCCTTTTTCTTTTTGGCACAGGCTTGTTTCTGCTGCTTTGCAATAATGGACATGTGCAGTGTCTATCAACATTCTAGTCCTAACACTTTCTAGGTTTAGTAGTTCTAGTATTAGTTTTTGTGATAGTCCTTTAATGAACATTTTTGAATGCCTCTGTCCTGGCATACATTGCCATTAAACCGATAACTTATTCTTCTCTCCTGTCTAGGATCTAA